GCCCCTCCACCTGCGGGGGGGCGCAGCCCCCCCTGCCTACACGCTTGCAACGAAGAAATGAAAACAAATCGTATAGCGATTCAACCGATAAATATATTTGTGAAGAATACATATATTTTTACATAAATAGATCTCACATTTGATCTAGTGGATACATTGCACTCATTATGTCGAAAAAGGCATCAATTCTAATATCAAAATTATACATTCTTTTGAACAAAAATTCTGCCAAATAATGCTCAAAATGATAATCGCGAGTGCCGTAGCGCGGAATATTTGCTCTCATGTCTCTCCACAATCTTTCTATATTTTGTGTGTGGACACCTGTGTCTGGATTCACAAAGTTGGTTGAGTGGTTTACCGTGTAATGAATGTAATTTTCATTACTTAATGCATTATATGCACGCCATTGATCCGTGTGAATGATTGAGCCAGGAGCAACATATTTACGAATAATAGGCAACAGTGTTTCTGTATTTCGACACGGTACCGGCAAAACAAAAACTTTTTGCGTACTTCTTTCAATGCCACCGAAAACCCACTGTCCTCGTACTATACGTCCTGTGTTGTATTTTCTTTTTCCTATTTTTGCCTCATCCAACTCTACAATTTTATTTTCTCCACCAATAGGTTCTTGTTTACTGATTATCCACTGTTGAAGCAACTAGAAAAGTTCATTTAGCAAAATTAATGAACTAAACTTAACTAATTAATAAAATGAAAAGCAGATATATTATTTACCTCTCGACAAAAATTCGTCCAATCAACTATAGTATTCTTGGTTATATCTAATTCAACGCGTAAGAATTCGAATCGTGGTGGCTGTAGCATCAAAAAGTACGCAATGAAGCGACAAATTTTTGATAAATCCAAGTGGGCTCGTTCGAACCATGTTCCGTGAAATGCGCTTAATTTGAAGTTGCATGTCACTTTTCGTCGTTTACGACTTTTTATAATTTTAAAATAATGTTTTCCGCAATGAAATACATGATTTTCCAAACTGTTTCTCAATAGCAAAACATTTCCACATTTCGGACACGTTATTTCTTTACGAATGACTTTTTTTTCACTCAAAAAATTCTACAAAGAATCAAAATTGTGTGTAACATTTAGAAATTCATGGAAACGCATGGTGAAACTTTCCAAAATTCAACCGTGTACGACAGAAATCTATTACACATTGAGCGAAAAGACGAATACGAACGAAGGAATCAAAACAAAACAGAAAGTTTCCCGATATGCTACATATACACACATTGTTGGCAACATAAACATTACTCATTTCCTTCTGAAATGTACACGGTGTCGGAGAAAATTGGTTTATTCATGAAACTTTTTCTGTTTATAACTTTTTTATAAACAATGAGCGACGGCTAAAAGCTTCATATTGTTACTCAGGAAGGTAATCTTAATAACATGTGTGAAAAAGAAGCCGATCGGAGGGGGCTCCCCTATTCTGTACATTTACCAGCAAGTTTAACGTAGTTATCTTTGCACAGGTTTATCAACTGGGGGATTTCCGGGATACGAAATTTGATGTGTTTACTTATTGCTACGGCAACTCCTCCATCTCTACGATTACGATCTTGTGATATGATTTCATGGTTAGGTAAGGTAACAATAGAGTTGCCGTCAAGACGTGTTTCACAGAAGGTCGCTACTTCAGCTTTGCAGTCCTGGAGTAGTAGGCGGGCCGCATCGAGATTACGGACCAAAGACCTGCAATTCCATTGGACTACGGTTAAAGGTTTCATGGTGTGCAAAATTTAACTCTAAGATTCTAGAGTACCATAGAGGTACTTTTGTAATTCAGTAACGATATTTGTCATGTCTGTGTTGTTGAGCTGAGAAGGGTTTATACTGGGGGTAACTTTTAGTTTTTGGAAAGCTTTGATTAGGATTCCTTTGTCTGAAGAAATTCTGGAATGTTCGTCTTCTGAGGAGTTACGTCCGGAAGACATTTTTTTGTAATAGAATTTACAAACGAGCGATTAATTGTAGGTCTTTTGTTTGATGAAGAAGAGGAGGATTGTGCCCTCTCCACACAGGGGGGAACCGAATGAGGGGCGTAGGGGTTTTCAGTGAGGTGACCTTTGCATAGGAGAGGTTAGAGGCAGGAGAGGAGTCGAACGAGGGAACACTCGAACTCTTAGGTGAGGGAGAAAACCCCACTCGGGAGGAGGGCACTCTCGGACTCCCAACAGACGTCACCTGAGGGGGGGAAGGGCCTGGCTTTCCACCTCCCGAAAACCGAAAAACGTTCCCACCCGGAAAGTACTCACCGAGCGTGGGTAGGGGAACCGACACATTAGACAAATGAGAGTTCAAACCAGAGAGTGTATTCCCCTCATCGTACAGACTGGCTGCATCGCGAAAAGAAAGATCTCTGTGAGCCATAATCTTGTGAATCTCACGTTGTCTCTGGAAGACCGGGCAACGGAGTTCCGAAGACTGGTGACCGGTGTTACCAACCTTGAAACGAATACAATTTATGCATTCGTCCAAAACATTTGAGCAATTTGGTTTAGAGTGGCCCGACTTCCCACACTTTTCGCAAAACCTGCGCCTTTTATCTCCAGACTGTTTGCAAGAATGAACTGTATGCCCGAATTTCTGGCAAAAATCGCATCTTCTTACCTTATAAATACATAAGGGGTTAGGGGGAGACGTTTCCCCACATACAAGCAAGACGGGGGAACCACCGGAGAGCGGAACCTTAAGATAAGTTGATTTGTACTCACGTACCTAGGGCTAGAGGTAGGACTACCCTTTTCCCTACGCATGATCCTAACGGCTTCGAAAGGGGGAACCCACTCCTGACCCCACCCAGGGGGGGGGGACGGAGACCAGCCAACAACTCCTCCACGGTTTCCTCCTCGTCAACGCTTTTCAGAACAAACTATTTGACCACCCTAAACGATGGGACATGCGCTGTCCACTGTTCGCAGGGGGTTATCTTGTCGGCGACGTCCCTGAAGGCTTCAACAAACCGATTCGCATCCTCGCCTGTGGGGAAGCAGACAGAAAACTTATTCCTACCTATCACACGCAAGTCAAAGGCACGTTGAAACTGGTTCAAGAGAAGACGATTGAGCCTCTTTCCCAGGCCGATGGCGCTGAGCGAGGTTCCTTTTTTAATACCTGTATCCAGACTCTTACTGCCTTCATGTTTGTCCTCGCCAGCAGAGGAGGGCAGCGGACGGCACGTCTCTATGTGCACCATGAAAGGACCCCTGGAGTCCCTGTGGTAACGGTTGAGTATAAGCTGTCTTTGCACGCTGGACATAGCAGAGAAAGTACGCTTGAGAGGGGGGGACGGGCCAGCGCCGTCCCTCTTCCTCGAGGACCGTACCCCTGCAGGTCCAGTAGAGGCCGAAGAGCAGGAAGGGGAACTAGCCGGGAACACTTCACGAACCGCACGACCCCCACCGGGACCCGTGCCCGGCGCAGTGGTCTGGTCGTTAAGAGGGGGGGTTATGTTCTTTCCTGGCGGGATTTCCGCCACAGGCATATCTACATCGGCCGTTTCTTCGGTCATCGTCGTAGTCACGAAACACACGCGTTTTACTGTGTCCGATTTGCACAACACTGGCTCGCAACAACAACTTGAACGATACTTGACCCTTACCGTACGATTCAACCACACAAATGTTTTACAACTTTACTTTGAAAAGGAAGGAAAAATGGCGTCCTCAGACGAAATCCACAGGTCGCTCGACCACAAGGTCGCGATTGTCGTGAAAACGACAGTTTTTGCGTGGAACTTGAGTTCCAGAACTCTGAGCTTACTTACGAATTGAAATTCCAACTGTTTTCGCAGCGTTTTGTAGCTCAGGACANGAATTAGGAAATTTTGAAGCAGGACTGGAATACGCGGGAGATGTAGCTCGTGCGCAGTCTCAGAACGGAATCTGTATACATTACTTATACTACAGATCATACATATATAAAACGGAACGCATCTTTACACTGTGGTAATAATACATATTATCAAGGTGAAATAGTCAGTACTACATATATATTATAATCTCATTGATAGTAGGGGAGACCGGAGCACATGCTAATTATATTATTTAAAATAACAAACTGTACATCATATTATGTAATATTGGGTACGTTACATCATAGTCACATTCTTTAGCTTTAAGAAAAAAATGTTATTTTTATATATCTTTATAAACAAAGTTATTTAATTTTAAACACGATTGTGCAAATTTGTCAACGTGCCCCGTACCCGAGGTTAGTTGTCACATAAGCTAAAATTCTGATTTTCTTGAGTGTAAGACAAAAGTAAATATTCAAAGCACATAATATATAACTAATTAGGAAGCACATCAAAGAAAAACAAAAATTCCATTAAATGAATTTATCAGATGTGTGGAATTTGTCTTGGCATCGACATTTTTTACCTTTAATGAAAAATATATAAACAAACGTACGGAGTACCTATAGGGATTACCTTTATCCCCTATAGTATCCGATATCGTAATGCAAGACGTTGAAAGAAATGTTTAAAAAAAATTACCTTTTAAACTTACATTTTATTTTCGATATGTCAATGACATTTTACTAACTGCTCCAGTTGATCTTATAGACGCATTGCTCAAATCTTTTAACAGTTATCATCCTAGACTACAATTTACTTTAGAAACACAAAACAATATATTAACTCATATAATAAATAACTCATAATAAATAACTCATTAAGCTTTTTAGACATTAACATAATAAAAGGCAATAAATATGATTGAAATTGATATGTGCGGAAAGGACCGTTCGAACCAGTTGCAGGATGTTGTGCAAAAATATTTAAAATTAATTGATATCCAGACGTTTCGACTTTATTTCTTTAATCATCTTCAATGAACATTCTTAATGTTCATATCTTCACTAATGTATTTTCTAATTACTAAAGTAGTTAATTTAAATAATAACTAATTAATTATTTACGTAGTCAGTTTTTTAAATACTAAAAACGCGTAAAAAGACACGATTGATATCAATTATTTATGTCTTCATTACTTTTGGATAATGTATAAATAATTCTTTTAAATAAATTAAGTAATTTGATAAATTTTTAATTGTTTGTATTTATTTATTTATGTATTACTTAATTTTCCAAGTAAAAATAAAGTTTTAACAGAAGTAATGTGAGTGGGATACGCGCAAAATGTCGCACGGCGCGCTACGCTCCTGCGTACCTTGTACGCGCGCCGTCTCATTGGAGAACTTTGATAGTTTATATCTCGGTAAAAAATGGTCCGAGCCAAAAGTGGAAAAAGAACTTTTAGTTCAAAATTCCATCCTCTTTCACTCCCTCCAAGGTTTACTAATCATTGCGGGACACCCTGTATATATATATGTATATATATGCATGCTAAGTGAAAAAGCTGTTATACAAGATAAAGATTATTGATATGTACTCTCTAACAAACAATTTAAGGACTTGTACTTACTTATATTTGCAAGTTCTGCTTGTAATAAATAAACTTGGTCTCTCAAACATTTGTTTTCGTGTCTTAAAAGTAGATTTTCAACTTTATGAATGTTTTCTAAGTTGAAATCTTCTAAATCTCGTTTACAATCTATTTCTAAAATGTAATAATAATATTCACTTACGTAATATTAAAATGTTAATGATATATTTTTATAAGAATATACTTACTACGAAATATCTTCAATATAATGCAATTGTAAGATGCTGTCCGTCGATGTCCCGGCGAGTGATGCACACGTTTAATATCTTGCAATGATATATCTTCGTTGATATCTTAATGTAAGTGCAAATCGTTGATATTGCGGTGTAAACTACAGAATTGATAAATTTGTCGAGTAATAGATTATTTTCGATGTCCGGTGAGAGCAGCCCCCCGCATAACACCGGTAAAAATTCCAAAAATATACCTGCGTATTTACGCACGTCCGACCGCTACAACGGATATCTTNGAACTCTTTACGGTGTAAACTACTTATTCCTCGCAATGTTCCTTATCCTCTGCCTAAATACATTTTATAATTTTAATATTCTGTTAATAAAGGTTAGAGTGACATTCTGTCAAAACGCGAGAATTGAAAGATCAAACGAGCCCGCCGAAGGCGGGCGAAGTTTGATCGAAATTATATGAAGTGTCTCGTTCGAAGATGATAGTATTGTAGTCATGCTTGTCATGCCTTACATCACAACGTTTAGCGCCTAATATAAAGGAAACGGAAGCACTCCGTGCTGCCCTCCCGCGACTTTCCTTAAGCCCGGTTCATATTGTTTTGTTGGAAGAAATGAAAAACATTATCACCGAGATTGAAGATGATAGTGGGCCTTCATTATCGTACTTTTTTTTTTTTTTTTT